CTCAGAAACTCTTTGCTTACAATGGAATATATCCAAACAAGCATAAAGAGGGAAAAAACTTGAGTCATTTATAGGAAAATGAACATACTTTGAATCTACAAGTAAAGCAAATTAGATGCAGAAGGATGGTATCTCTCATAGAGAGAAATAAAAAATCTAAAAAAAGTTTAGGGGCTGGGGAGATGGCCCAGGAGAGTAAGTGCTTGCCTGGCAAGCACAAGGGCCTGAGTTCAATCCCTGCTTCTGAAAAAAAAAAGTTTAGATGACAGGATAGGAAAGTTTAGGATAGATGACGGGAATAAGGGAGTCAGACTGTGGAGACAGACAGGGCCAAAGATTGGGGAAGAGAGGTGAGAAGAGAGATAAAATAAATTTTATATATACTTCAGCATTTATCAATTCCTCATGATGGATGCAGTTATTATGTATCACAAACACTAATAAAAAAATTAGTCACAGAACATTGGAAAAAAAACACCCAAAGGTATTGAAACAATACTTAATTCTTTTTATTTACGAGGAAGAACTAGAATGACTTGGTTCCTAAAGTTATCTAAAACTGATCAGTACTTTTTCTTCCCTTGGAATAACATTACTAACTTGTGAATTTTTAGTTATACCGAGTGCCCTTAAATAGGAAGAGGGGAGGTAGAAAGGGAGGCAGGCAGGCAGGCAAGCAGGCATTCAGGGAGGAAGGAAGGCAGGCAGGCAGGCAGGCAGGCAGGAAGGAAGGAAAGAAGGAAGGAAGGAAGAGGCAGTGATAGACTGAACTTGCAGTTTTTGACTTTTAATATGGAGTTAGGAGGCCATGATTGTGGGTTCCAGAAGCCACAAAAGACAAGGAAACTGATTCCTTCACAGGGCTTTCAGAAAGGAACCAACCCTTTAGTTTCAGTCCAGCCAGCACTGTGTCAGACTTCTGACCTACAGAACGGTAAGATAATAAAGCTGTGTTATGTTAAGCCATTGAGATTGTGCCGATTTATTATAGGAAGACAGTTCAGTGATGATCTCTGTGAGGCTATCAACAGTAATAATGGAACAAATTTCAGTAAGCACGAAGAGTTTAACAAATATACCAGCTCAACTTATACTAATAAAATATCTGTACAGCTGCAGTAACAAATTAGTAAGTATACGGAGAAATTAAGGAATTGATGTTGATAGCATAAAGGAAAAGAACTATAGCTGAATATGGCTTACTTTTCTTGTTGCTGAGACAAAATACCTGACATCAAAAGTTAAAGGAAGAAAGGTTTATTCGGCTCACTATTGGTTGAGGTTTCTTCATAGTTAGTTGTGCGGCTCCAAGGCAGGGTAGCATGGCAGATGGGCATCACGGAGGAGAAACATTTCATAGTGGAGAGAAGGCAGCAAAGTATGAAGAAGTAAAGCAGAAAGCCACAACAGCAGCCCCCTTTCTGACTCTTATATCCAAGTTACCCACCCTTGGGGCAAGTAGCACTCTTATCCAGGGTAGGACATATTTAATCCCAGAATTGCACTATGAGTTAATCCCAACATCACACCCTTACTCTCAAAATCTAACAACCTAGAGCCAGCCATCTCTGAAAAGTCCCATCTGTTACCGTATGAGGCTTTGGAAGGACACTAGATATAAGCCACAAAAAATACCTAGTAGTCAAATAAATCTCTGTGGAGAAAATTTTAAAAATCTAGTGAAGGACATAAAACATGACCTGACAAATAGAAACATATTCCATACTCTTGGATTGGATGATACTTTGAACTGGATTTTGGATAGTTGAGGAATTGACACAATTACTCCAAAATTTAAGAAGCAATACAGCATGTCAAATAGCTAAAGCTATGTCATAAACAGGGAAACTTGCCAAACAAGACATTAAAAAGCCATACTAATAAAGCAATGTGACACTGTTGCAAGACTTCATAGAGCAGTGACATAGAACAGAAAGCTTGAAGACAAAACATTGACTATTGAATATACAACTAAGGTTGCACTTCAAATCAATGAGAAGCATAGACTGTTTAATCTAGTGATAGGAATTCCAGCTTTTCTTCTAGAGGCTCATTATGGATTGGACCCATATTGTTCCGCAGAATTCTCACACTCTCAAAGATGGGGCCTTTGGAAGGGAATTTGGGTGGAGCTTTTGGATCATGTGGGTACTACACCCATCAGTGGATGAAGCTGTGTTATGCAAGGCCCAGGGCCTGGCCTGAGGTGGGTTACTGGGGGCACCACTTGGAAGGGCACATGTCTCTGTGTTTCTTCCCTCTGCTTCCTGGCTGCCATGATGGAAGCAGCCTTCCTGCATCGCAGGCCCTCCCACCACATTGACTCTGCTTTAAAGCATGCCAACCATGAATTGAAACTTCTGAAGTTGTAAGCCACAATAGACCTCTTTCCCTTTAAACTGTGGGTAACAGGCATTGTGACCAGAGAGTGACTAGGAAAGGGGGAGAAAAAACCTGGATGTGGGATTATTTCATATCATATACAAAGGTTACATCTGTGGATTCAATAGCAACACCTAAACTACGATGTTTATAGAAGAAATGTAGGAAATATAGTTTTTACCTAGGTTAGGGTGACTTAAAATATCAGAAGCACAAACATAAATATGAGACATAAGTGGCTCGATTGACTACATTAAAGTTATGTTATTTTTATTAATTAAGTATACCCTGGATAAAATTTATAAACAGATGAAACCAGAAAAAGATATCTGCAACGTCTACAACTGGATCAATTATCTGGGTGTGGGGGCTTATGCTTATAATCAGCATTCTGAGAGGCTGAAGTAGGCAGGTAGGAAGTTTGAGTCTGGTTGGGCAATTAACAACTTCATGAGATGCTATTTCAGAATAATAATAATAATAAAAAAAAGGACTCAGTGCAAAGGACTTGGATTTAGTCTCCAGTCAGTACCACAAAAATGCAAAACAAAACAAAAACCTTCACTGAATTAA